TGTGTATAGGGGTAAGCTGTCAGAGAAGTTTAAGAGAAAGATAATGAAAAGGGAGCTATAATAGATGGGGTAAAAGAAAACTTTGAACATAGACAAGAGAATGGGGCAAAGTAATTACGTAGTCATTATTTGGTCATCTGCGTGAAATTGAGTGAAAACTGTCTCGTTACAAAATTTCAACTTTTTAAGTGGATCTCAGCCCCTACCTACCCAAAATTTTACGCCCTCATACTGTGTAATGACCAAAATATCAAACGGCTAAGTGTCCAGAGTCTTATTTATCAATCCTGTTGCCCTATTTGGAGCAGCCGTTGGTTATCATTGTCTCAAAGTTCCTCTTCGTTTCAAAGTATGTGAATGTAAACATTCTTTGCAGAATGAAGAATGTGAAAAGGAAGGAGGCACTCACCTTCAGAGGAACTCGTAAGAATAGCCTTCGTGGCCTTGGGATTATATTGCTAGTGTGAGAATCCATCTGGAGTTGAGTGTGCTACCGGCAGAGACCCTGGCTACAGAGCTGATTCAATGGTCAGACCACTGCAGGGTTGATGCTGCCGCCACTTTTCTGCTTTAATCAACTACCATCTGTTTTACAGGCTGTTTCTCCAGTTACCCCCACTACAGCATTCTAGAACAGGGTGTGACTACACAATGAGAGGCTGTGCTCAAAAGGCACAGCCCAAGGTAGTTTCTAATAGGCTCTGGTCATAGATTTCCCTTATCACTTTCTGGTTATTTACCATCTCCAAGGCTATGTACTTCTTGAACATGATCCCTTTATTCTCCAGGCTTATAAAACAATCTGAAATTATATAGGTCCCCAGTACACTTTTCCATCCTGGACTGCCTCTCCCTCTTGATCAAAGCTCAACTTATCTCTACTAAGATATCACCATTATTTGATAATAACCAACTTTCACCTTTTTCTTGAGCCCTCTCCCTTCAGTTAAATGTGCTATCACCAAAATTGAACAATCTGATCTGTTATGCTTCTCTGAAATCAGTTAAATTATGATCACTTCATGTCTATTACTACTTCTTCCTTTCCCTAGCCAGCCTAAAATTGCTTAGGTAAATCTGTACAACAATATAGTCTAGGAAATGTCAACATTTTATTCTGAATATTGTTTCAAATAATCAGGTCACTGTATGAGCTTTTGGTATAGTTTTTACTATATAGTATTTTTTGATATAATACCACCACTACCTTACCTCTGTGCAGTGGTTTATAGACTATAAAGTTCTTTCACTTAATCTTGTTTAATTTTCATAATTTCTCAATTTTCTGCCTATTAATGGATCTTTTAATAGGATCTTCCATAATGCCTATTATAGAACTTTTTACAGCTCCAAAATACATGTTCCCTGGCTTTAGCTTCAACCTTCTCCCCTCTTGCACCTTACTTAAGCCTAGTTCAATCAACAGTCTTTCAAACATGTACTTTTACTTTTCAACCACTCACAACTCCCAGCCTTCTCAAAAGTCAAGCCCTTCACTTGAAAGCTTCTTTTGCAATATGTCAATCTAAAACCTGTCTTTCCCTCCTTCAAAATTAACTCCAACTTCTTCACATAGCCTTAGTTAACAATAAGGAGAAAAAGAGTAAACGACTAACTCACACACAAGAGCCCAGAACATCTTCAGAACATGGACTTTCTAGGAAAGTCTAGGGAGGAAGGGACCCAGGTCTGGTTAGCTCAAACACCTGACTCACTAATGCACAGTGAGTGGTTCAGGGATGTGCATGTGACCCACATACATACA